ACACACTGACACACACACACACATACACACACGCACATGCATACACAAATTCACACCGTCGCACACACACGGGCACTTTTTTTTTTTTTCGCCAACACGTAGAACCCCCAAACTGCGCCACCCATTTACACAAACAAATACACACACACATAATCACATTCACACACACACACACAAACTGCGACCTTTCTTTTTTTTTTTTTCCAAAATATCTGTTTTCTTTCTAATTTTTTTAATAGCGCAAAACAAGCGGTTAGAGAAATTTTAAAAAAAGGGTTGCAAGCAAAAAAAAAAAGGKGGTTTGGGGGGTTCGGGGGCAGGGTGGGGGCGGGGGGCCAGGAGGGGGGCTACGGGAGGGTTTGGGTTATGAGGGGCCTATAAGCACTTCGGGGGTTTAGGTTTCGTGCGTGTTCAAATCACGCCAAAACCCAACCCCCCAAGTCCGCCCACGCCCCCAGGTTCCCCATGTTTTTGTGGTGCTCATACAGTGGGAAGTAAGATTTCAGAGAAACCAAGGGCGGACTCAAAGCACACAAAACACTCGTGGTCTGAAAACAGAAACATCACAAATGCCAAGATGTAGTGATCGAAGCAAAACGCAAACCAATATAGCATGGATAATAGCAAAAATCTGACACATTGTGTCGAAGCCCCGCCAGTCTATGGAAAGAAGTACCAACCCGAAAATGCCGACGAAAAAGTACACTAAAATACACTGGAAAGCTACAATCTCTGAAGTACCAAACTGCGGAGAAAAGTGTGTACTGGAAAGTACACTATAATACAACATCACGAAACGTTGCGTCTCCACAGAAAAGTACCCACTGGAAAGTAGACTATAATACAACCTCACGAGACACTACGTCTGTCATCGATAACAAAAAACTAAAGTACACTTAAAAGTCACGAAAATGCAAGTCCGTAATCCGTCAACAATCGTCGTGCGCATGTGGATCTCGCCCGGACCGATGAGAAACTCGTCCGTGGGACCGACCACTGCCACGTCCTCGATCTCTCTGACGCTGGCCGCCGCGTCCGCCGTCAGAAGGCTCGGGAGCGAAGGGAAGCTCGTCGGGATCGTCATCCATAATGACTCTCCTGCCTCTCACCGTCCTGATGGCTGCTGCTGCTAGTTCTTTACGTCGGCGTGACTCACGTGCCATAGGTAGACCGTCAGTCCCTGAAGTCTCCCCCTCCTGGCGTCGATCTAAGGGCACGTGTCGGGTCTGCCTCAGTCGTGTAACAACATCAGGCTCCTCCAAAATAATCGACGTCTCTTTCAAACCGTACGTCCGCGGCAGATCCACTGCGCTCGTCATGGCACCGCCTGCGCCCTCACGTCGGTCGTCGCCGTCGCCACCGCTGCCACCGCCGCCACCCCCTCTACCGCCAAACCCTGAAGCTACAACATCTCGGCGTCTCGCGCTCGTGGAAACCCCTCTTAAACCTGGCTGACAACCGGCACTCGCCGTCGTCACCCGTCTTTGTCTCACTCCATGGTCGATCAGTGCGACCAAACAACATGATGTCGAGCAACTCCCGCGCATGTTGGGTAGTGTCTCTCCGTCTACGGGCAACTGACCTCGGGGTGAGACTGCCGCCCTCCCTCGGAGCTGCGGTCAAGGGTGACGAAGGGCCTGCGGCGCCTCCAGATGGCGCTGCGACCGAACCTCCAGAAGGTAAGTCCCCTGCGGCCCCGCCAGATGCCGCTGCGACGGAACCTCAAGAAGGTAAGTCCCCTGCAGCCCCTCCAGATGGCGCTGCGATGGAACACCCAGAAGGTAAGCTAAGGCTGGCTGACCCCCAAGATAAGTCCTGCACGTGAGGCAGCTTCCACTCCTCCGGGACTGACCTCAAAACGCGCTGGTCTATCTCCGTCAAATCCCTCCTGTCGTAGTCCTCCAACTCCTGAGCGGTCATAGAACCAAGAGGGAGGATTCCCCGAGGCGTAGACATATGCCTGATCTCCGGCCTCGTCTGTGACGGCGCAAAAGTAGGGACCGGGGGTATGCACGCGCCCCTTCCTACACGTCGCTCCTCGACCGGGCCACCGTCATGTGCAAGACGCTTATAACCCTCCAAAAACAGTGCCTGATGTGGCACCACTGGCCCCACAGTAGTGCTAACCACCAAAGTTTGTGGCATCTCCTGTCCGTCCGCGTCACGCCTGTCCACGTGCGGGGTCTCCCCTGCCAGACGTGGACATCGGATCGGCCGCGGACGGCACCCCCGACCCGCCAACACCAACGGCCCCCTCTACGGCCCCGTCCCCCCCGGTGGTCGACGCTATCCCCTCCGCCTATGCCGATGGGTGAATATCATCAACGCCCACTGACTGCCCCAACTGTATGTCCTCCAGACCTAGGGACATCTGCACGGCACCCTCACCTGAACCCATGGGCAGAGGCACGCCTGCGACCTCCTGCAATGTCTCCTCGGGCCTCAGCTGGACGGCAGGAGGCTGTGCCGGCTCTGAACGTGGCTCCTCTGCCCGAGGATCCGTGTGGGCAATGGGCCCCACATCAACGGACGCCGGCGTAAATGTCCCCAGCTGCCTCCGTCGGTCCTCGGCCGCAAGACGGGCGAGCTCCTGCGTCCTGGGGTCCCTCTGTGCCATGAGGCAAGCTCGACGACTGTCAAGCCTATCGAGCCTCTCTACAAAGGTCTCTCTAGGGGGTGTCCGGTCCTCATCCCCACCTGCCCCCAACATCACCTATGCGCGCATGGCAGGGGAGAAACTACTCGGATCCGCGAAGCTGATCTATCCCTGTAAGTCCTGCATACCCACACTGATGTCCCCACGGACTCGCTCTCTCCTCGGGCCAGACCCACGCTCTCTCCCGAGGGCATACCCATGTCACCAGACTCACTGAAACTGCCTCCGCCGCCCATCGGTATCCCCTCAACCACCGCATCAACCTCGGCACCGCCTCAACCTCCGGCCAACGCACCACCATCTCCACCAACCAACCCCTTTGTGTCTCCGTCGTCACCCTGCACCGACATAGGACCGCCCTCTAATCTGTCCTCCAATCGTTGTCTCGGGCCCGTCACCAATCTTTGGAATCGGTCTGCATCGGCTGGCTGTCGATGAAGCTGCTCTGTCGAAGTGGGAAGAGCGGTGGATGATGTCGTGCAAGAGCGACCCAGAGGACGATGGCCAATCCCCGACTCTGCCCCCCTCGAAGGTGCAGACCCAGGATCTCTCGCGCTCAGCGGACGTAGGCCTCGGACGCTCTAAAGGGCTCCCATGATGACCCCCAGACTCCTCCTCCAAATCAACTCGAACGAAAAGGTCATCTCCGCCACTCCGTCTACGGACGTCCTCTGGGTCGCTCCACTCATCACGCTCATCCGACGCAGGAGTGGCGGTAGCGGGGCCCGTCGGCTCGTCCTCGTCCTCGTGACCCTCGGAATCACTGTTGTCTCGAGGGTACGGGTGCAATGTGGCGGCTCGAGTCCCAAAAACATCGCCCACATCACCCGGAGGAGCTCTGGCCCCACATGGGTCTCGCTGCCATGAACGTCTCTGATCCTCGACCTCCTCCCACGTCCTGCTCTCGTCAGTCCCCTTCCACGAGGGGCAAATCCCGATACCTCCCTCCACGTCCAACAACGACTCATCTAGAGTCCACGGCAGCACGAACCCGCGGCCTGCCCGCTAATGAGAGAGAAGGCGGACGTTGGCTGAGATCTCAACCAACTTCGCGACCTTCTCGAACTAAAGCCGGTTACGCTTCTTCGTCTGTACACCCTCGTGAACGGCCCAATTCCTCTCCGCAGGAGAGGAGCACGTCCATATGTACATCACACGAAGAGCGATAACCTGCAACTGCGGGGCGCACTGCCCGTACCTCGACCACCAACACCCGGACTCGTACGTCTCCGCATCGCCCCTGCACCTCTGTGCATCTCTCTCTCCGTCTCTCCCCCCCCAAGCAATCGTCCCCCTCCGCGTGTGAAAGTCGCGCAATTGCACACAGGCGGTCTCGTAGTCGCGGCTCGCCACACTGAACCATGTCTGCGATAAGATGTAAGTCTCCGCCTCCCTCACCAAGCTCGCGTTGTAGTCGCTGACCACACCCTCGAAGTACCGCAAGTCCCGCCGGCTGGGACAGAGAAAGTGAGCAGCGGCGTGCGCCGCCTCCAGCATGTGAGCGCATCGAGCCTGCACCCTCTGCACAATTTAGTGTGCAAGATCTGTCGGAAGTGCACAAACCTCCTCTGCTACCTGACGGGCCAGATCCTATGTCCACTCAACCACCCACGACATATGCACCCCTCCGCGGTCCAACCTGCACAGCAGGTCGTACACAGGCTCCATGATACGGAACAAGATGCCTATGGAATCCCACCAACTGCCATGTCGCACCTGCCACCTGACCCACCTAGCCAAATGACGAACGGAATAGTCCCAAGGGACCATACCCCAAGTATCACCACCCACCGTCCTCTCCAATGCCAGCAAACGCTCCACCATCGCGAACACGGATGCGAAACGTGTCTCGCAAGGATAGATGAGGCCCATCTGACTGCTCTCCCCCCGGAAGATATGGAGAGTGGCGCCGTGCTCCTTAATGAAGCGCACCACCGCTCTCCCCCTCACGATGATGTCCTTGGACCACAGGCCCGAACAGCCAATGTCTGACAACATCTTGTTGCAGACATGCACTGTGCATGGGAGCCACGTGATCCGTCGATGCTCAGGCCTCTTCTGGGGCCCCTGGAGCAGGTTCGCCACGGCGACGTACGCCGAGGCGGAGTCGGTGCAGATGGCGTTCACCCACTTAGGGGAGAAGTCATCGAACACCTTGATCCAGCGCGCCAACATATCAGGCGCCCGATCCCGCTCACCCTCCCAGTTCATCGTCCGGACGAGCATCAACCCACGCGACCCGCCGGCAAGGAAGTTAACGATGGGTCTAGCATCGCGTGACTTCCTTCCGTCTGACATAATGGTGGCCCCCGTGACAAAGAAAGGAGCCCTGACCTCCGCGAGATCAGCTCCCACATCGTCCGTCGTGTGGACAATGGTCTCTATGTCCGCGATCTCATTCTCTGAAGGCCACAACACCTTCACTGGCCCCGGCAAATCCCTAAAGTGTCGGACGACATCCAACCACGGCTCTCTCCGGAAGACGTTGAACGCCAGGCGCTGACTGTACACAAAACGCAGCCACTTTTTCTTGAACTCCATCTGCCACTTTGAAGTGAATGACTCCGTAATCATGTTCTGTCTCATCCTCTTTTGTGCTGCCATCGGTCTGGCCCCCTCCTCTCTCTCCTTCCTCTTCCCCGCAGACAGACTCGTCTCAGCCGTATCCGCATCTGCACGTGTACAAACAGACACGTGCGTCGACGCAAAGTACTGGCCCTGCTGCCCCCCTGGCTCGCTGACAACGCCCTTCCCTCGCTCCCTCCCTGACGACCCCGCCCGTGCAACCTCCTCGACGTCGTCGTCCACGTCGATCTGCTCCTCTGCGTCCCTCATCTCTCCCTCCCCCCCCTCGTCCCGTCGCGGATCCGTCGCAGGCGCCGCACCGTGAAGCTCCTCAAATCGCTGGATCCGCTCTAGGAACTTGTCGGACATCTTGTACTCACTGTTGTAGTGGATGTCGACAAGTGCCTCGTCAGTCATTTCCGGACATCCCTTGCCCTGGCGGAAATGGCGCGCCGCCACGAACTGGTTGCCTTGGAACTCGTGGCCACAAAAAACGCACTTCAACATGCGATTGCCGCGGAATCTCTCGCCGAGACTCTGTTCCACGCGGATGTACTTATACACGCAACACTTCTTCTGCGCCTTCCGATTCTCATCCTCCCCCCCATCCTCAAACACCCGAGACTGACTTCGCGGCATTGTGCCCGCTCGCCGATGGGTTCACCGAAGCGGTCCGCCCTCAGCCTGTCCCACGATGCTCCAACTCCCGCCGGCATCCCTCCCCACACCAGGCCTCGTCGGGCCAACCCCGAGCCGACTCTATTGTGTCGGCCACGCACCCTCCACGGCCCCGAAACCCCCACTGCGCCGACAATGCGGCGCGGGCCGCGCACAGGAACCCCCCCCCCTGCATCCGTTCAAAACACTTGAACGCACGTTCAAAGAATTGAACACGCGTTCAATTTTCTTTGAACGCGCGTTCAATTTTTAGTTCAGCTGCTCGCCGTCGCCGATCTTCGTCGTTGGGGCCGCCGTCCGCTACCGCGCTCAGCGGTTGCTGTCCCCGCGCGCCTCCACCTCCTCGAGTTCGTCGT